AGGCAACCAGTATGATTGGCTCATGCACATATATAAGTCACCGGTTTCAATAACAAACATGGTCAATATATAAATGTCGTACTGTTTTCTTTGCTTTTCTGGCACCTACCTCTACTAGAAGCCTTTCGGCGGTTTCCTCTTCCTAAAAGACAAAAAATAAGTTTTATGTTCAGGCCTTGGAGTTTTTACCGTAGGCAAAACTATCGAGTTTACATCAAACAAACTTTACAATATTTTATAGGTTTTTCGAAATATTAATTAGGCGGAAGGGTTTAAAACATTCAGGGTAATTCAGAGGGAAATTTTGATGGCTTTAGTTCGTTGCTATTCTTAAAGGGCATTTGTTTTCGTGGACCAGCTGCTTTTGAAGTAATTAAGGGAGATAAGTGATAAAGGGTAGTATGTTATTTTTAAGAAAGGGTATAATGCTATGCGACAGTCGCTTATTGCAGTAACTATGGTGGCGCATGGCAGTAGATGGGTCAAACAGAATGTCGAAAAAGGCAAAAAGACAAAAAAAAAAAACAAAAAAACATGATTATATTTGATAACATAATTGGGCTTTATGTTATTTTTTTCAAATTCAATTACGCTGACTTATCCAACCGCTAAGCCCCTTCCGACCTAGTGCTTGGCCCACAGTGCTGGTAGTTCAGCATTTGGTTTTAACAGTGTGGTTAAACGTAGGGTTCATATAGAAGACTAGGGAATCGGTTTGCTTATTTTGAGTTTCAGAAGGAGACCTGCCCATCTGTACACATTCGAACACACTTTTAGGTAGCCATTTTTTGATTTTCGGCTTTTTTCGCCTGTTCCTTTGGACAATTCACAAATTATCTCTCCTCACGTTTATCACAAGGAAGGTAATGCATGACCACTACTGCTTGAATATTATTCAGCCTCTTCAAAGATGTAGTCTATTGACCACATTTTATTTAAGACAACAAAGGCTGTATACGCAGTCGTAGGAGAATATCTTGAAACCACACGCAAATACTCACTTCGTCGTGAGCTCTTTGATGATCTTTTCGATTCGAAGTCGCATGGGTCCTCACCGCAGCATGTCGATGATGACGAAGAAGAACAGCAGGAGGAGGAAGAAGATGACGAAGATGAACACGTAGATGAACAAGTGGTAGAGGTCGAGTCATCACCTGAATTCCAAAAACAGTCAGTCGTTACCCCACAGCAAGGTTTTCATAATAAAGGCCTGCTGCCAATTAAGCCCAAAACATTCAAAGTAAAATGCGAGTGAAATATTTGTAGGTAAGATGAGAGTCGTGAAAAACGACAGCAAGAACAAAGATGAGCCGATCTCTTTCTCTAAGTGCTTTGATTAAAAAACCTTCTGAATTTACCGTTCATTATCACGTAGAGGTAAATCATATGTACAAGACAAATACATAAGAAAGATGATGTAGAGCATACAAAAAGACAACTTACAGCTGGGTCTTGAAGGACGATACGGAGCACGTGCCTTACTCATTGGCTTTCCACAATCTTTTTCCGCTAAAAAGCCAGCAAGCATAAATGAATACGGTGCAGAAACTTACAGTCCTGACCCTTTTTCCATCGCCTAGCTACGACGATTTTCTCTTGTCCTTTGCGCGGGCTGCATTCTCCTCTTGCTGCAAGGAAAATAAACAAGATTAGCCTGCTTTTAGTCTATAAACACATCACATCTACGCCGATAATAGCAATTTGTTCCCCTTGCAGACTCCATACTGGTTCATTTTTCATTGTCACCATCCCTAGTAGTTGTTGTATAGATGCTTCCAGTTGGTATTTTACGTGGAAAATTAAATTAAAAACCATAAATGGGTGCGTATACGTTAAGGC